GTTACTGGAGCAAGTTTCAGAAGTTCAACTATGAACTGAAGACAACTTGCTCCGATAAAATAATTGACATTGTAATAGATTTTGCGTCTCTTTCTTTCGAATTTATTTCCTTTCTTGTGCTCTAGACTGGTATGCCGACATCAGTTCAATCAGGAATGTTCGAAGTGTTTGTTAATGGAAAATTGATTCATTCGAAAAGAGTAAGAAATATTTATTTATCTGAATTCGAAAATATCTACTATTTGTTTGCAAAGGCTGGTCAAGGCTTTCCAGATACAGTGGATAAAATGAGATGGATTTCCAGGGCTGTGAAAGAAACCATTTGAGTTACCACTATTAATGCATTTAAACAACTTGGAAGATGTGTTGGTAAATTTTTTTTCAATCTATTACATATTTTAATTGCACACGTTTTTTATTCATTGAATAGAATGTGATCTTGTAATGATTGAATTCAACTATTGGCTCCTCATCGATGATGTCCTATGTGATAAAATTATTACAAAGTCCATAGTACTGATTGAGTCATGAATAGTAGTTCCATTTCAATCATCGCACAACATCACAATCGTACTTCTGATTTGATTTCTTTTTTCTTTCTTGAATGTTGTACTTTCATTATTTGCATTAAAGGAAAAACATTAATAAATGCTATAGGTAATAGTTATGAGATACTAGAGCAAAAGAAATGAGAATTCTCCTCTCGAAAACTGCTCACAACAGTGTCAGAAATCACTTTCTCTTAATGATGGTACTGTTAAGATTCATAAATCTGTGAGCAAAACTTCCACCATTTTCTAATAATGAAAATATTCGAATGCATAGATATTTCCTCATCGTTGAGCATTCATATTCAATTAATAGTATTGACCGTCAATTTACGAATGTAGTGTATTAACAAATCAATATTTGTGTGCAGCTTTAATTAATAGTAATAATCTCAAGACCATAATATCATTTTTATATTATATACTTGGGTAGAACCGAATATTCTATTTCAAACTTGTAAGTTTTAAAGGTTGTAGATGAACCTGCCGGTTTTATTAGAACACACATTTCCTGACTTGGTAATCCGAGCCGAAAGACCATTTAATCTATCAGTTGTTGTAATTATATACAGATAGAAATATATTGCTAGGCAAAGAAAGTCAATCGCCATTGCACGAATTTCTGTACAGTACGAAAATTATGCCACAGCAACATTGAATTTGTTACGAAAAACACCCAAATACGACGATACCAGTAAGGATATTTACAATGCATTAGACTTAGATTTAGTTAGTGCAAATATTATTGTTTGAACTCCGAGTTTACTAGTCCAAACAGGCACAGTATTCAGTCGACAAGTGTAGCAGCAGTGATTACAAGCAGAGTGAACGTAAAATGTATGACTGCAATTAATGTGAGAGAAAAAGAATGAAATTCTTTCTTCGTTTATACGCTAATATCTAACATCATAAATACCAATGAATAGTACATGCAAATCTTCATTTGTTATCCAACATAAACAAACAGTTAATTGTTTATTTTTGTACGTTGTTCTTCGTATTTATTTTGTAAAATTATTACTTAATACGAGTTTTTCATCAGATGACCATTTCAGTTCTCTTATTGTTGTTTGAAATCTTTGATTTAACGATAATGGATTAAATGTTCCACTGATGTCTGTTGAAAAAAAAACAATACAATTTGGTTTGATTCATTTCTGTTAACAGTGTTTATTCAAATACAAGTATGAGCAAATAATCTTGAAGATGAATATGTTAGGATGTCGGTGAAGAGAAAAGTTTCCCTCTCGGTCTGTAGATGTAAAGTTATGTGTTGAAATATTCACGATATTCATTCTTATCGATGAAAAACTTCATGAAAGGTAGAGAGCTGAACAGCAGTGCAAATTTGTAAAATGACAAAGTCAATTTTTGAATGATGTAATTTGGCTACCAAAATAGGGACAAGATTTACTTTAGCAAACTCAAAGAGTTCAGAATTAGATTTTGTATCGACCATATTATAGCTTAAATAGATATTAACATTGTGTCATTCCATTAAGTACTCTTTCATAAAGATAGTTGATGTTAACATAACGCGTTTTCTCTCTACTCTTCGTATATGTAGCTGTCAGGAACTGATATTGCCATTTTACAAATTTGCACTACCATAAAAGAAATATGTGTCATCTTAATAAAAATGTCGTTCATAAACTTTATGAAATTATACTAATATGTCAAGCAGCATTGTTGCTTGTTTAAAATTCCGATTGAATACATTCTCTCTTCAAGTTCACTTTTTCTCAAACCTTTATATGCTAAATATGGCTGCTCGAGTGCTATATATGGATGATAGTGTCGTTTTTTTTCTTATGAATAGCGTATGCTAACACGTTCTGTTCAGAAAGGTACCAAGCACACTTCTCGTAGATGTTACGACTGTGAAGCTTTCATGGGTACGCTACTACTTCATCCTTCCAGCAATCTGAATATTGAAAAGTTCTGAAAAACTTACATGGACCAATTGTGTATATTACTTACAAAACAACTACACAATGTTTCATTTGACGATGCCCGCAAAGGAGAACTTTCCACTATTCATTGATTGTTCCTTTCGGGATTTTCACAGAGACGGTTTTAGTGATTCCTACAATATACCAGAACTAACCATAATTCTCTGAAAGCGAAAAAAGAATTCGGACCAACCGTAGAGGTCCTTGGTAATTTTCGGTAACTCATGATAATTGATGAGTATCACTTGAAGTTTCTAAAGCTTTTTAGAAAGCTTTGAAAGCCTGAACTATTTGTTATCGCTTTGAATAGGTGTAAATGTTAATTTGTGGATAGGAGTGAGCGAATATTTGTAGATGTGCTATGCTCACCCGTATCTACACTTTGTTTAGTACATGTTAGTCTTGTCGATGAAAAGTGTCGACATTGGCAATGTTATTCTAGCAAGAAAGTGATACGATTGTTGTTCATAAGACAACAACATACTAAAGCAATGATCTTCATTGGACAAAACGGACGTCTATAATAAATTCAGCTTGTGATACTCTTAAGTATTGCAATTTGGTTCTTATTGTCCCTTTTTCTTGAGAGAGTATGCAATTACTTTTAACAAAGTTGATAGTATTTTAAGTTTTAATTCTGAATGAACAGGTGCTTTTGCACTCGCGTTGCCAACAGAAAAGTGGTTATTTCATTGTTAATTTCTCTAGCAAAGCTCAAAAGAAAAAGATTTCGTTTTAAAGAAAGCTCCCTCTACCGTCTAGAAATTTCTCGTCATCTTCAGTCATCATTCTGCAAGTTTTTCTATTACTCATTCACATAGCTATTACTATGAGTTACTCAACAGTGATTTCTTTATGTCTGTGTACATATATGACGATAGAATGAATGAGTGGTCGAGTAGAGAACAGAACGAAAGAGAATGAAAAGGTAGAAAGCAAACCATCGTCATAAGTGCATCCACAAACATTAATAGAACTGCTCGTGTCTGTTAAAATCATGGTATGTTGTTATTAGAGTTGAGTTCCGGTTCCCACCGCTGTATTGAGTGATCTTAGAGACGTAGATTTATATCAAATCGTTTACGCTGAAAAAAAAGATTTTGATGGATACCCTTCAAGTCATATTTGTCTTTTGATTTTTTTCCAAAATAAACAAGCACTGAACGACGTTAGTCTCAATCAAATCCTGAATCTTTTCAGAAAAGTTTTAAAATATTTTCGTTGTAGGCTAGAGACCTGCGGGAACAACTTTTTGGTTCCCGTTCTTGTATTGAAAATTTTTGTTCCTGTTCCCGTAACAAAAATCTTCGTTCCCGATCTCGTGTTCCCGTTCCCGTAACAAAATTTTCGTTCCCGTTCCGTGTTCTCGTTCCCGCAGTGCTTTGAGAATAGCTACAACGATTTCATTATTCACATTCATCAACACTACTCATACTTGATACTAGCGTTTAACGACATCATGTTTCTCACAATACAAGATTCCGCATATTAAAAGTAAATTTCTGATTCGAGGCTCATAAACCTATTGAAACTTGAAATTTCAATTGAATTCAAGTTTCAAGTTTGACATATATGTAATCTTGATGATCCCAGCCTCGATGCCGACGACGATGATGGTGGTAAAGAATATCGTGATTCTCATAATCTATGTTTGAATGAACTTGTCTGACTTTGTTGACTGATATTTGTTATCTTTTCAATTATATTTCAAATAGTTATTGGAAATCGAATACTGTAACATTAACAAATTTTAATGCAAACAGATATCGGACACAAGGTTTGCCGGGAAAAGAAATTTTTAACACAATTCCCGTTCCCGCATTCCCGATTCCCGCGGAAAACGGGACGGGAAAACACGGGAAAAAGTCGTTCCCGCAGAACCCTATTGTCAGCTCCATTTTCTTTTTATTTCACATATGGATTTCAATGTATGAAAACTTTGTTATAAAGACAATTAAATTTAAGTAATATTTTGACGTCATTCGACATTAGTTTATCCTGAGAACTTACGGATACAGATTCAACAAAAACGGTATTAATTTGACAGCAACAATCAACAACATCCTTCAGCCTAATCGATTTGATACACATCGATGTTTCTTATATCGCTCATTACACTGGCGGAAGACCTAAATGTAGATCGTCTGAAATGATCGAAAGTAACTTGAAAAATAGTACAATGTATGATACTTTGAAAGCAATGATAGGCATACTTTAGTTTTCCATAAACCTCTGCATCGTCCTCTGTTAAATTATAGTTCCGGTTTCCTTGAGAATGCTCATGGACAGAACACTGCAATAAATATTTGTTGGAAAAAAAAAGAAAGAAAGAAAAATTATTTTAGATCATACAAAAGGGCATTTTCTGTTTGAAAACAAAGATATTCGCTTAGAATACATGGAAAGATCTGATAAATTGGCTAGACTCGCTGATTCGTCAGCCGATACAAATATACACTTGTCTTCGACCATAGTTGACTCTGATTTCACTTATACATCAATGCCTGATCCTTTGGCTGTTTATGTACCTGTAGCAGCCCTCACCAAACCAGTGGTGCGTTCCATTCTTTTTGCTGTATTGGAGCATGAAAGACGAGATTGGAACCATAGTCGCCGTACTCTACTTGCTTTCTTACTGGCACTGAATAAAAAACTCGAGGAAATTGAAGCAAGTGTAGAGACAAGGCACAAAATCGGCGATCAAATCATTCGACAAGTTGATGATATTCGCCAATGGCTTGTCTATGAGGACGATTCTGGTAACCGTGTAGAACCAAACTGGGATGAACTTCGAGCAACATATCAAAAGATGATTGCTGATAAAGTGGATGATACGTGGACATATTATGGTGGTCACAGAACTAAGCCATACTACGAATTGATTATCAGTGTGGTAAGTTAATTCATCTATTGACAAATAGAATTGAGCACTTGTTTTCCTATTTCGCTTTCAAAATCTGACATTGTATCTCCTTTAGGATGACCTATGATACTACTGAGATTAACCCGAATGACGAGTGAAGATTAGTCCTTCCATCGAGCCTCATGAGTAGAATTCCACAAAATTGTCCAAAAGCATGAGTGTTAACATTTTATACAATTCTATTCTTGATCGCTAACATTTATTTCAGTCACATCCTGATATTGAACGATCTCGAGTTTACATGACTCGTACTCGTCAGAATGGTTTTCAATCCAATGAGCTTAAATTATATTGGAATGCTGAACAATTGGAAATTCTTTGTCCAAAATTTGGATCACAAGGAGATAAATTTTTTCAACCACCACATGATCCATCGGATGCTGATGCTGTCGAAGGTCTTTGTCAATATCCTGTGTGGCAGCGAAATCATTCAGGAAAAATCACTTACGTCACGAAGGGCATTGAAAAAACTGTTTTTGACGTCCCTAAAGACGCCCAAATTATTCTATTGAGTTTCGCAGTAAGTTATTGTATCAATTGTTAATATGTTCTATTCTACCACTTTTTAGGATGAACAATCGCCTGGCGGAGGTTATTTGATACGGGCATGTAAGTGTTTTTTTTTGCTCTAAATACATCTATCATATTAACTTGTCGGAAAAAATACCGAGTTTTTCCAATCACTATACCTGTTTCAGGGACTCAAGAAGAAATCATTCTATACAATTCAGACGCTTATCGATCTTTGCTCGATTTGAAATACGGACGGATGGGTGGCGGCTATGCCATACCAGAATTCGGTCTAGCTTATGTACGCAACATTTGCTTCTTCCACCCGGATACACAAGAGCGACGCCTAGTAGATATGATGGTTGCTGCGTGTTATTGCATCGGTGCAGCGGAACTTTATGATAATCCAAAGAATAAAACGGAAGTAAGTATCCCTAAATGTTTGAGCCCCTAGCAGCTTCTTTAAGAAAAAATCTAGTTGCTATGTAGTTTTATTGCTAGCCAGAAGTTTTAGAGATTTTTTCTGCGCAATCATTCAAGTAAAACGAGTGAATCGGACTAGACTTGACCACATAGAGAAATATTCTTAATGGAAGTTTCTTCTAAAATATTAGTCAGAAGAACTAAATTCGAGGAAAGTTTATCTCCTTGGGATATACCATGTTGAGCTTGTCCATTTCTCTACTTTTACGTCAATGACAGAATTCCGATATTGTGATGAAAAGAATCATAAAAACCATTTTGACTATTTTAGTGGAAAGAAAAGACTTTGGCCAAGTTTCGCGCATTCATCGCGGCGGCCGTAGCCAATACAAAGGGTGACGGTTCAAATACTTATCTCTTGCTTGGACCAATAGGTACAGGTGCTTTTGGAAACGATGTTCATGATATTGCTAATCTTTTTCGAGAAGTACTTCAATCAAAAATGATGAGTTCGAATGGGCCGATTCGGCAGGCTTTCGGCAACATTTGGTTTGTCTCTATAGACGCTTGGAAAAATGACATCTTCAAAGAGATTTTATCAAATGACGAAATCTAGATTCTGTTTTTGTATCTTCGAGTTTGGTCAAATTCTAAAAACTAAACCATCATAGTCGTATGCACTCGATTAACTATGTCTGTTTTGCATGAACATTCTATTTCCTTAAAAAAACGAACACTTACTTTGCTTTTTTCTATGTGTTACGAGTACGACTTTTCGATTGTTTTTTCCATCTCTCTAAAATGTAGCATTGAATACATATAGATGGAAATATTCGTCTTCACATATAGATTGATTGCATATTCTCAATCGTGAAAACTGAAATCATTATCATTTTGATACATGGAAGAAAATAATCATTCTTCAGTGTTCTGACTTACAAGTTTAACACCATTTATTCAGTTCAAAACGCTATATCTTACACTACAGCCAGATGTAAGTGTAGACCTGAGAATATTGTTGTGAGAATCTTCCATCCGTCCTCAATCATCAACTCTCACTCAAATTCTCATCGCCCACATTCACCCTCCACATTACATAATAGATGACTGGATAAAATGTTCATGACATGAAACGCATCAGAGAATAATCTTCATGGTATGTTGAATATAATCAACAAGCAATATTCTCATGTGCAAATAGCAATACTCATCAATGAAACCGTCAATTATGATAATGCTAAAATAACTTATTTTGATGGTAGTCTGACAGCCAAAGTTCTCCTAATGGTTTAGAATCTCAACTATATCCATTTTTTTATATATTCGGCCATGGATAGCACTAGTACTCTAAACTGATTCTAGAAACTCTTATACGTTCCAGGAAACGTTTTTTCGCATGCACCTGATTTCGATAATGAGCTCTAGGATATTTAATCGTCATTTCAACCCAATGAATTCTTCGTGAATTTTGTTGTGAACAACATTTAAATCATTTTTTGAAGAAATTGATATGGCGGAAGTGAAACTTGACTATGAAAGCGCATTTTACGATCAATATTTTCATTGTAACTAATTGAATATGTTTCATTTTATTCATAACATATTTTTTGTCAGTGAGTAGTTAACATAGAGTTCTTTTTTTCTGTTTGCTATGAGACATACTACATATAGGCATGCCTTCCTTTAGATACTTTCTAGCGAACTAAGCCGTGAATAAAGATAATAATTAAACAATTGCCCACATTAAGACTTGTTAGAGCTCCGTTTGATTTATTCAACGAGTAAGTTAATCATAAGATGAGTAACTAACAGATATTCATCATCATATCAAAATAAACCAATATTTATGACTACATTGAACAATAAAAATCGACTAAATCTGGTATATGATGACGGCAAAAACAATTATTTCAAAGATAACCAAAGGAGTTATTCTCCATTCGACTATTATATAACAACTATCTGACAAGCATTTCATTTCTATTTCGAATTCTGAGACAAACAATTGAGCTTAGCTGCAGAAGAAAAAAAATACATCCTACCTTTTTACCTAAAAAATATCTAGCCGTTTCGTTTAGAAAAACTTAACTAGTTTCAACAGTATAGGCAAGTCTATGCACGAAACAAATAGCAGGCGTTTGTCATGGAATGTCCTGTTTTTATTTCTGTTGTGAATAAAGATATTTAATATATAATTGAATCAAGTTTCATAAGTATATATTAACATATGTCATTGTTCTATGATTATATATTTTTAATTTTATAGTTTGAAAATTACATGTGCAATAATATTCTGATTATTATATTTAGTAATTCAAAATGTTTTGGAATTTCTTTTTAAGAATTGCACCCAATATATATTATATGTCTTACTCCACTGAATGAAGTCCTAGGAAAACAGAAACACCCATACGTTATCGCATGGTTCATTTCTATTCATACCCATACATCAGCCAGATGAGCATTGGAAAAGATCTCGTAATAAATGCTTAAGAGACTAACGAATACAAAATCGCACAAGATGCACATATGAATGTATTCGAAAAATGTTCAGGTTTCTAAGTAAAATTATATTCGTTCAATGTTTCAAACCCGTTATGAACGCAGTATAATGTGCGAGTTTACGTGTTCGATTTTTGAATTGAAATTATCTTTAGGTGACAAAAATCATATTTCAGACATCTAGATTTTTGAAAGAATAGTTGATATATTTTCTTAGTTATTTGAATCTTAGTACCATTTTATAACGATTGCTTTTTAGTTCAATTTTGACCTATATAGGTAGCAATATTAGATTTAAGATTCTTTCGAATTTCAAGCATCACTATATAGTTTTCTGTAGATTAAAATTAAACTGCAGTCATAACCGGTAATGATAAACAGCTGGTCCAATCCAACTCCATAGAAAATTCTTTACTGTCCCCTCTAAACTTGTTAATTATTATTTTTGAGATGAAATATGCACTATACTAAACTATTATGTCTAAAATAATCTATTAGACTTAATATATTTTGGCTAACTCGTATTGATTTTAAGTTATGCTATTGAAATTAAAGTAAATAATTATTTAACGTCGTCACGTGTTGTTTAATTTTTTTCTACTATTCAGGGCTTATATTTCGCTGAGACATGTTTGATAACACATGGAATATTAATTTAGAAGCAATTTCAGTTTATACTTAATTAATAATATTCATATTTGATGATATGTTAATCAGTGGACAAAGTATAGAAGCCATTTCACAGAAGTCAGGACCGATTCTGCGTAATAAAAAAAATTAAACTTTAGCTTGCACGGTCAACCAGTTTTTATGACAAAACTCGTGCCTATTGGCATACTGCATTTCGTAGCTCATAAATAGAGTTACAACAACTTTCATAAATATGCAATGAAAATATTCGTTTCAATTATTTTAGTTTTTCCTCTCATTCCTGCCGTTGCTGCACATAAATTTGATATGAATGTGCTGTAGCATAAAGCGAATAGGCTAACATAAAAGTAGAAGAATCTGAAGATATTAGTCAAATATAATACTTGTTTTCGAAATAAGTTGTCAATACGAGAGAAGAATGAGAATGTTTGTAGAAAGAGCATAGCTAATGTTAATAAGTACGAATAGATCAACTACAGGAGCGACTAAAATTCTAGAAAATGATTTGAAAGCTCTAAACGAGTATATGCTAAAAATGTTTAATTTTTTGACGACTTGTTGATTTATATTAGACAATATTATTTACTGTAGCAGTGTAGTAATATTTATAATACGAAAAGACGCCAAATAGTGTTTGATAGTAGAGTATTCATCGAACACAAACTCAATCAATAAGATACAGTGTTAGATAAATAAAAAGCATTGATTTTACGGTTTTTTCCCAACTTGGTTCTCTTGTTTCATATATAAGAATAAGACAGCAAACAAAGGGAGCAAAATGAAAAAAGAAAAAAATATTTCAAAAGAAAAATTGTGTATTGTTTTGGATTAATAAGCTTATGCGCTCCGAGAAATAATTAAAACCAGCAGATGAACTGCGACTTAGGGAAAGTCATATGGAAATCGCCTACATTCGTCTCATAAACAAAAAAGAACCATTGTAAATTGAAATGGATTATGAAAAACAGACATATAGTTATATGAAGGTTACATTGCTATTTGTCGACATTTTTATTCCAGGAAAAAGAAAAATGAATAACTCATCAACACTGTCAATGCTAGCTAACGATCCTTATATAACTTTGAACATTCGTTATACATTGATTGCACTTCCTTTTCTATTTACTCTTGCTCTTGTAACTAATTCTCTGAATCTCATCATTCTATGCCGTCGTATTTTGCTTCAACACTCATGCACTTATTACTTTATTGCTCAATCTTCGTTCAATATTCTATATACCATCGTAGTTCTCATCGTTGATTGGATCAATACAGTTTTTCCAATGAATTTAGCGGCAAGATCGTTGCCCGAGTGCCGAATCTATGCTTATCTTTCTTCTGTGTCAGCTGTCGGTAGTGTTTACATGCTTGTATTGGCATCTATTGATCGTTGGTGTGCGAGTGCAACAAGCGAATTTATTCGTCGCTGGATTAAAGTCAAAATTGCACGCCGAGCCCTCTGCACACTATGTATCATCATCGCTATCTACCGTACGGAAATTTTATTTACATATTATGTTGTTCAAGGTCAATGCGTTTGGACAGCTAATCTAATTGAGCAGGTTGTCTTTATAATTATTTTCTATGTAATTCCACATATTCTCAATCTTTCATTTGGACTTATGACAGTCAAAAATGTTCATACAATTCGAATTCGACCAACGATTATAACAAACATGACAGGACCAACAACGTCAACAAGTCGAGAGCTCCAACAACAGCAAAACAATAGACGACGTACAGAAGGTCAACTCATTCGCATGCTCTTAACACAAGTATGCATTAGTATAATATTCTTTGGTCCATATGCTACTTTTCGTCTGCTCATTTTTTTCAAACTTATTCAGGTGACAGGCATCTTGAGTTTTGGTTATCGTCTTTCTGTGTCGTGGATGAGTCTCGCTTATGGAACATCTCTTTTTGCTTATATACTCAGTGGAACTATTTATCGCGCTGAACTATTCACAGTCTTCAAGAAAACTCTTGAATATTTGAAAAGAATGACGCCATAACTACTGAAAATGCGTTTTATTTAACAAATCAGCAATGTGTTGGTGTAGTTTTTTGTTGTTAGTGATTATTTTGATTCTCAGTATTCTTTACTCATTCATAAATGTTCGTAATATTCAATAAAATAATGTTGTATGAAAAACTCTTGATTCTTATACTGATACATGTATATGACAGTGAATTGGTATTTAGCCTATCATACTCTATAGAATAATACGCTGAATTATAACATATTACAATTAAAATCCATAAAAGAAATGCTTAAATATGCAAACAAAACATGAATAGAAAAAAAATATAGAGAGATTTCCTATAGGATTTGAATCGTGATTTCTATGATTAAATATCAGCATAGTATTCGATGTTGTGAAAGTCACCACATTTTTTATTAGAATTCAACAATTTGATTGCCAACTCTATATAGTACGTCTCAAACCATTAGTTTACCGTCATGTTCACTAAAATTTTTTATGTACTAAATATTTACACAAAGTCTGCCAAAATTCCAGTAAACGATATAAATCAGACCTGACTCAGCATTTTCTAACATCTCAACATTTAAAAATATTATGACTTTAACACACTTTTTTTGTATAGCGCAAAGGTCAAAATGGATATTGAATCAGAGACCAAAATGGACCGAAGCAGAGTTAAGTTAAATCCTCCGAAATTTTCCGTAATAAACTTTCATATTGTTAATGTTCATGCAGAGACCATATATCTAGAGAATCGATGTGAAAGCTTATCTTTGATGCTTATTAGTTGCTCGATGTTATCTTGTCAACAAGCTCAGAATCGATTAGATCAAAAGCTATTGAAAAAAATAACGTACATTGAAAAATAATTTTCACGATAATTAGTCATTGACACAAAAAGGGTATGGGCGTGGGTGTTAGTAGGTGAGATAGATGAGAAGATCCACACCCACACCCTATCTCGAAAACTTTTGCACACAAAAATGTTCGGAAACAGCCTGACAAGTTACTCGCAATATGTAATTTTGTAGAGCATAGTTACGACAGTAGCAATTGTAATAGGTAGTTTTTCATAGATCAATCTAAGTATTATGGTGTGACAGAAAAAAAAAAGCTATAATAATGTGCAAAGTATCAGTGATCACTTGCTGTTAATTGACTGGCTTTGCTTGCTACAATTTCAATTTACATAGATAAAAACTCAATACGTTTGTTGTAACGGACCTTGACAACTGAACACTACACAAATCATGAGTATTTTATCGATAATAAATACTTCAGTCTGTCACAAAAAAATAACTTACTTCATACGAAAATGCGCTTAAAACTATCATAGGGCATAAATGACCTTTACAAATGCCAGAGAATTTTGGTCAATGTCTAAGTCGATGTTGCTGTTGTTCAGTTCGTTTGTAGACACGCTTGTTGGTATATACAAGAAAATAGATAATTTTTAATCGCCTTTCTTTGCTACTTTTTCTCGCCGTTTCTGTCTTGCTCTTGCGATCGATTTGCATAACCGATACATGGTTCGATCGAAAGCAAAAAAATGTGCAACTTTCTTAATTTCTTTCGATAGTTATATATGTTACGGTCAAAATTGGAATCTGGTCAAATTCTAAATTTGTCCGGACAAAATTGGAATTCTAATTTTGACAGGAAAAAATTAGAATTTTATTTTGATGAATTATAAAGCTAAGCAAAAACCAATACCAAAAACACGAATGAGGTCAAGGATAGTGATGAGAGTCAGGAAGAAGGTTTTAAGTAAGATCGCTGCGAGTAGCCTTGGTGATGGTGAAAAATTTCTTAGTAAGGATAAATTTTTGAGTAAGACTAACATTTTACGCGATTATCCACTCTAATTTCATTCACAACCTCGGGATATAGATCCAGACTTCCTCACTCTAACTCAGACCTGTCTCTCGTCTTCACCATCATTTTTGATTTCACTCGTATTTGTAGTGTTGCTTTTTTTCTCAGTTTTACAGTTCATGAAAATAAAATTCTGACTTTGTCTGATCAAAATTAGAATTCCAATTTTGATCGTAACATATATATATATACATCTTTTTGTTTTGACGAAGAATGCATAGTCGACACTCTTCACCTCAATCTAAACAACAATCTTTTTGTTCATTATAATTATGCTTTTGAACGAAACAAGAGTTCACCTCATAACTAGTTGGAACGCTTTTTATTCTAGACTGAATAGTGTTGGATCTACATTTACTGAATATGAAAAACATGCATTTTTTTCTTCAATTACGAATGCTTAGCGTTGAATAGTATCTATTTTGAAGGGTGTTTCACCTACTATATGTCTTCTTCTAACTAAAAATCAACGCTTCAATGTCATCATCATGAATCCGCCTCTTTATCGTTTCTTTTGAGAAAGTCCATGAGTACCATTTTTTTTGCCAGTGTCTCGAGTTGCGCAAGCTTCATTCTATCATCAGAGATAATATCTGATCGGTAAATTTGTGTCCAATCGAATTCATTTGGTAACACTTGAGCATAACCGAGAGCACAAAGGAGAGCGCCAAATTTGATACGAGTTCTTTGATGAAGAACATAATGATCGAAGTACTTCGTCATCCATATCCATCCGTCTTTTTTTGTTCCACTAGGCCAATATCCTTCGTACGATCGAGTAGCAGCCACATTGTCAACAACCATTTCCAGAAGAGCATCGTCAGGCATTTCTCCTACGAAATTTTGAGCTAATTCTAAATCATTCCGTACTCGTTTAGCTATTTGTGAATAATTTGAAATAAAGTGTTCGTAATGATGATCATTATGAGCTACATGATGTAACCAAGCGACATCAAATGCATTATCGTTCTTTTGATTGACGCTTTTCTTTCCACAAAAATGTTCCGCATAGGGCCAAAATTCGGCTGGTCCTAATTTGGATAAATCATGAAGAAGAAGTCGTTTGTACGAGACTTGATATGACGTTGAACGAAGCAAATGATTTATTCGAATACCGGCCACAATGATAAAATATTTATGTTTCAATACTTCCCACAAGTATTGAAAAAAAATAACAACAGCTGCCATGAAATAATAAGAAAAAATGTATGTGTACTATTCCTAAGTAAAAATCAATGTTTTCTCTTAACCAAAATAGAAAATAACACGTTCTGATGTAACAGTACACCTGAATCATGTAATTTATGAAGTAAAGAAAACATATTGCACAAGTAACACGTATTTTTTACTGTATCGCCCGATTTACTATTTACTTTGCTCTTTCCTTTCACTTCATTCCATCGTCCATGAGTTGGATGACAATGAATAGTTACTCATTACTTTTTTCGTTCTTGCGTTTAAATTGTTTTTCGATTGACTATGGACGACTATGTCATTAAAAAAAAAAAGCTTTTAGATAGTATTTCATCATCGTTGCACAATGAGTATTTCATTCTGCCTCAAAAGCATAATCGAATTGTATATATTTCCACTCTCTACTATCAAAATTGCCTGCAAGACTAGTTATCCAACGACCTTACTTACAAAATATTTAGTTATTCCTCAGCTCATAAAATTCTTCTAATTGTTTCAAACATTATAAACTATATAGATACTAAACTACTCAACTATGTTTGCCGCAGAATCAATATCAACTCGACGTATCGAAATCATTTCGAACTTTGATGTCAACTCTCAGGTTATTCTATGATGACAATATATTTGATCCAATGGATCGACCTCTTCTAATCTTATTTTTCAATCTAACAGTTCATTTAGGGTTAGTGGCATCTATTAATCGATCTGAGGACTTATTGAGGAAACCTGATTTCATTGAGTCTGACTTATCTGAAGAAGTTATGCTCGATATCATATGTTGCTCCGTTTAAAACACATACGTAAGTTTTCGATTTTATTCATTAATGATCTTTTTCCATTTAATGTTCTATATAAAATCAATTTTCCGAGTTTTTCTTTTATCCATTGAACTAACTGCGAGGTGTTCGAGACGTTTATTTGAAATCAGCTGCACTTTCTCATCTTTGCCAATTATTATTAACAGATGTTTGTTGATACATAGAAATATCTTTTAAATGCTATATCAAAATGTAAATCACTCGACATATGTCAAATTTCTTTCTTCATTTAGTCAATTCCATTGATTGGCATCCTATATGTCAAAAGTAAATGTCTCATTGCCTATGCTGTATACTTCAACAGTTCTGAACAATACAGCATATATCAAAAGTATCTACCTTAATGGAACTTCCACATAACTTTCTATAAAAAAAAATATTTTATTCAATACTGTTGCAAATGGTAACACGATCTTTCCAAAATCGAGTAGTTTAAAAAACTTCAAAAGTTTCTTGCCAAAACATAATAATAGAGTTTAAGTTTCCTTCAATAGGTGTATTACAACTAGATCGTTGTATAAAAAGCCATATGTAATCTAAAAAAGGAAAGCTTCATGCAGGATTCTATGATATAAATTTGGCTTCGATATTTTGTCGAAAAATTGAATATTTTAAAAGGAGGGTGGCTTAAGTAGACGCCACTATTTGATTGGCTCTGAGAATATAGTGAGTTGTTTAGTGCACGAAAAATATTTTTAATAATGATCGGATAAGAGCCCAATATATCTCTTATTTTGTGAAAGCCAGAAAAACAATATATATGTTAAACATACGTTTAATTTATTTGATACACTTTTGTCTGTGGTTTAATTATAGTCCTCTCAACAGCATCTACCATATATATAACTTTACAAATTTTGAGCAGAAAACAAACACTTCCGACGTATACAAAAATTTAAAAACTTCCAGGGCGTTCAAACATTTTTCAGAATGAAAAACAGAGGGTTCAATTCGTCTGTAGCGCCGCCATTAGAATTCCAATATTGTTGTGGACGTACACATAATCAATTGAAAGAAAGAAAGATGATCATAAATAAATTACCAGTTTCTCAATGATTCGTTTAGTCTAGCTTCCAATCAAAGCAAAGAGAAAAAATAGTTGTATTATGGTAAAGTGAGGAATTCAACCCTATGAGTTCTCATTGATTTGATTCAATTTTGTAAAGACAAGATGATTTACTGGTTTAAAACTATTGAAATGAACAAATATAGCTGAAAATTTAATCAATTGGAACAAAAAGAACATTTTGAAATTTGATATCTCTTTTTAGATAATTTAGTTATTGCTAAACTGGACGACGATTAACAGAAACACGATGATTACTCGATCTATTCGTTATGCTTCTTCAACAATAAAAACACCTCCAAAACCAGTCGATGATTATACTTATTGTATAAATAGTGTACGAAAAGTTGATTATGAAAATTTTATATGTACAGGTTTATTAAGACCATCATTACTTCAACGTCCAGCAATGGCTATACGAGCATTAAATGTTGAACTTGCTTCAATACGTGATCATGTATCAAATACTCAAATAGGACAAATGAGACTTCAATTTTGGCGTGAAACTATTGATACAATTTATTCAACAACAAATACAAATATGATGAAAAAAATTAATCATCCAGTTGCACGTGAAATTAATTTAGTTATAAAACATAATCAATTATCAAAATTATGGTTTCATCGATTAATTAAAAGTCGAGAAACAACATTAAATGATATGCCATTTCAAGATATTGAACAATTAGAAAATTATGTTGAACAATCAATTACACCTACTTATTATCTTTTACTTGAATTAGCAAAACAAAGATCATTAAATGCTGATCATATCGCTTCACATCTAGGTATGAATTAAGAACAAATAAAGATTATTTTCATGCTCTAGTTTTCTAAGAACTTTATTATTACAATATATAAGAAATTATAATAGAAACGTTGCCAACTCTAACAGATAGTCTCAAAATTATAAGTGTAAAATCCATAAAAATTAGAAATAACAACTTTATCATAGGTCATAGATATTTTAATCGTACAAAGATTCCACTAACAACTTTCTTTTTTTCATTGAATGACTTATTAATGTAATTTTTGTTTTCTTTTAGGTCGTTCTCAAGGTCTAATCAACATAGTTCGTGGTATTCCCTATAATGCTCATAAACGTCGATGTTTTATTCCTCTTTCCTATCTTATTGAACATAATGTCTCTCAACAAGATCTATTGAATGGTCAATTTGCTAATGAACAATGTCGTCATGTAATATATCAATTATGTAATCGATCATGGTTTCATTTACAAAAAACAATTGAATTATTTGAACAAGATAAAAATTTTCAAAAGCAAAATATTTCTTCTTCATTAAAAAGTCATAATCGTAGTATATTTTTACCAATTATTGTTATTTATGATTATTTAAAACGTATAAAACATATTGATTTTGATTTAACAAATAAAAATATTAATCAAAGAAATCCTTGGCTTGTTTGGAATTTATGGCGACATAAATTTCCATCTTCAAAAGATCTTTCATTGTTTTAGATTTAGGATAATGTTTGGTCTTTCATCAACAACAACTCAAAAAGATGTTGAAGTTGTTCAACCACCTGATGATGCTATATCGTGTATGAAATTTTCTCCAGCAACAGTTCCACAAACATATTTAATAGCAAGTTCATGGGCAAATGATATTCGCTGTTGGGAAATTCAATCCAATGGACAATCTATTGCTAAAGCAATCCAAAAACATGACGCACCAATATTAAGTTGTTGTTGGTCAGACGATGGTACTAAAGTATTTACAGCTAGTTGTGATAAAACTGCCAAAATGTGGGATTTACAATCCAATACATTTGTTCAAATAGCAGCACATGATCAACCAATACGAACTATAAATTATATTCAAAGACCATCTTATTCATGTGTTATGACTGGAAGTTGGGATCGAACTGGTAAGAAAAATTATTTTTGTTTATATCTAAAACAAGATACTTGCGTGTCTGTATGATACAGATGTCGAGACTAGATCGACCGTGCTTTGATTCCCAAAATAAAATTTTCTAATCGAAATGGAATAATGATCTCGAAGATATGAGATATTTTTTCCCGATTTTTTTTATATTTGATGATTAGTGCATCGAACAGATTTCTTAGATGACTAGAGTCCGCCGAGTCCAACATTGTTGGACTCAAACCCAACCGAATTGTGAATCAATCCGATAGGCACTATTCGTGGGTGTCTGCAATTTTTGCAAGTACCCATTATAACAAAATAAAGAATTCATGTTTTTTAATTCTGTCTAGTTAAATTTTGGGATACACGTCAAGCAACACCATTAAAACATTTAACACTTACTGAACGTATATATGCAGCCGATGTCTTTGGTCCGATGGCTGTTATAACCACAGCTGATCGTGGTATACAAATTTATTCACTTGATCAAGGACCAACTGAATATAAAAAAATGGAATCCTTACTTAAATATCAACATCGTTGTATATCAATATTTACAGATAAATCACGAAATCCAAATGGATTTGCTATTGGTTCAATTGAAGGTCGTGTTGCAATAATGTATGTTAATGCACCAAATCCAAGTGCTGATAATTTTACATTTAAATGTCATCGTTCAACTCCAACAGCTACTGCTACTACTCAAGAAATATTTTCTGTTAATGATATTGCTATTCATCCTATACATGGTACATTAGCTACAGTTGGTAGTGATGGTCGATATAGTTTTTGGGATAAAGATGAACGAACAAAATTAAAAACAAGTGATGTTATTAATGATCAATCAATAACATGTTGTGCGTTTGATAGTCGTGGACAATTATTTGGTTATGCAAGTTCCTATGATTGGCATAAAGGACATGAAGGAAATATTCAATCAAAAAAGAATGTAATATTTTTAAGACAATGCTTCGAAGAAATGAAACCAAAACAAAAGAAATAAAACGAAAAAAAATTCTTGTTTTTTTTTTTAATATTTTTGTTTGTATATATACAAGAATGTAAGAAATAAAAAGAATCTAATTTTATTAATTAAGATACAATAATTATTTACATAAAAATGATAATGATTGTAATAAATTATATATTATTGAAATAGCCCAATTTTATATGTTTATTTTCAATGGTATTTAAAATATTTAAACAAACATTCAATTTATAAAATTTGTAACTGAATTTTTTTGATGATATGCTATGAACTTCAACAATTATTTAGAATAGCGATACGAGAGCTTACATGAGAAAATAATCGTGAATTGCAATAGTTTTTCTATAAGAAAAATCTTTGATGTTAGATCATAAATTCTATTTACTGAAATATTTCAAATAAAGAAACTATAGTAAAATATTTATCATGATAGTAATTATATGACTACACAGAAGATTCTATATGTATTAGTCAATTTCGAATCAACAGATAACTTTCCAAAAGATTTTTTATTAAGAATGAAATTTAATTCGTATAATTAAATACGATGAATATGAATACGAATTTGAAAGTCTTGGTTTCAATCTATTGATCATATCATTGATGTTCAAAATAGTGTCCTGCAACCCGGCAACTAATAAGATCTCGATGTTTCAAAATAATTTTATTTTTTCAAAAGTTCCCTTTTTATATAAAAGTACACAAGTGAAAAGCGATATTGTTTTACTAAAAGAATTCGTTTTTAATGAATATTCATCTACAGATAATGATGATGAACCATATGGCGAAGTAATTAAATGCATAGAAAGAAAAATCAGTTATCAATAAGTTGAACATATACGAATGGACTGAAAAAGTGGTCGCTTTTTGTATTTTATTTTTTCATCATTTAAAACTTTTTGTGAGAAATAAAATATATGACAAAATGAATGAACATACAATTTAGTTCTACGAAACTTGATTATACGAGTGATTAACAATGACATGATATCGATTCAAATCGATAAACAATTACGAAATATGATCGATATAATAAGGTTAAAAACTATGATTCACTAATAGATGAAATTAGAAAAGAAATTCTTCGAATAACAAGAAAAAAGTAACTTTTTTGCACTATTGAACTTTAGTCACGTAGAATTTTAGTCAATTATAGGTTGGTTTTTAATAAAACGTATTAGATGATGAAAAAATAAAATACAAAACACAATCATTTATTCTAATCCATCCTTTATTATCATGACATAAAAAGCATTCATGTATGCATCCACAATTATAATGTTTGGCGTCAACACTGTGTTCGATTCTAGCATCATCAGCAACAAGCAAACATATACTTAGTGAAATTGATCAGTTGTTAGAACCAGAAAGACACCAAGTGAATCCTTAATCACTTGATTTATTTGTTTTTCTTTAATGGTATTTGAAACAATCTTTTTTTTTCTTGTTGGTCACACAAGAAATAACTCCGTTTCAGATTCGGGGCATAAAAAAAAATGTGTTCGATTAACATTCTTTAAACAAAAAAGGCGACTGAAATAGTTTAAATAGTATTTTGTAACATTTGTTTCCTGATAGATTTATCCAATATTGTATAAACTTGTTTGATATCTTATAAAGCAGAATATTAATTATCAATGATTTCTTGAATAGTTGAGACAACATCATCTTAGCTTTTTCTATATAATAACTTGAATATTGTTGAGCTTGTGTCATTTTACCAGTGATGAAGTTATTCGATTTTTCGGTTCAATGGTTTCGATAATATTGGAACTTTTGTATTGATTCAATGATCTGAATGCAAATATCAAAATGTCATTCACTTTCATAATAATGATAAATAGAAAACATCAATGTTTGAAGTGAATAATTCTAAATATGATTCGATCCAAATTATTTTTGTTGTTTTATAGATTTGTTCTTCAAAAATTGATTTCATTGTTGAATTATTAGGTTTTTACTTTTTTAAATGAATGGGTTAATTCAATTGAAATAATCTTACTAATCAATCAAGATGATTATTAACCACTTCGTTTTTTTTTTATCAACGAACTCTTTTGAAAACAATTAAATAGTCAACCTAGGTAGATGTTTAAATTTGTACAAACGAGTGTCTTATATGCATACAACTTTCTGGCACCGATTAGTTGTACTTGATATTCAACAAATCTTGTCAATCCTAAATATTTTCAAAACTTTTATATCATATTCAAAAATATTTCATATAGTTATATAAATATACAAAAATACCAAGACAAAGATTAGCTGAGATTACATAAGAAATTAAGTGATTTATTCAATAGTTTTTGTCTTATTGCTTGTAAAAAAATCTGTCGAGATTTACTGAAAATACTTCTACTTTTTGTTAGTAACATTTAAATTGGAAGTAATATTAAGACTAAATAATGATACGAATACATATACATCATTAATTTTTGTTTTTTATCGTGAAAAAATATTTTCACTCTTCAAAGAATTAAATTGATTTCCCAGGTGCTAGATCACTTAAGTTATGAAATTCATTATCATGACTATAAAAAGTAATTTGTACTTCTAATTATGTTACTTAGTTTGTGGTATATCAATTTATGAAAATATGATCAAACTATTCTTTTACATCTACGTCTATAAATTAATAATAGCTTGGAACAGTTGAAACTATTAATAATTGATGAGATGTACAACAATGGATACACCATCATAACCACATCCATGCCTATAATTCTTTTTCATATACATGTGTTCGAACTAATGAGATATTTTATAGTTGAAGTTAAACAGTAGCTAGTCAACCTCATTGTAGAACCCTGATTTAACATCAACTTGATCCAAATGAATAGATAACTTTCTATATGTGATAAAGGTTCTATATGTACAACTAATTATTTTCTAAAAGCAAGAATCATGTTTAATCATTTTTTGCATTGTTTAAATATGAGAAAAAAATGTCCTATTATATAATTGACAAAGATATCAATTCTTTTATAAAAACATATAATAATTGTTATGCTTATTCTTTTTCATAGAAATAGATTTTTCTTTATTAGAAAAATATTTATTTAAAAATCTTTAATGATTCACTACTATGTTTTATCTCTTTTTTGCATGTTATAATGAAAACTACGAGAAAAATAGATCGATTTGTTAAATCAAACAAATGACGTAATAAAAATAGATAAAATTTTTCTTTTCTTTAATTTCTAGATGATTCTGTTTAACCTCATGATAGAACAAGTCTATTTTTACAACTAATCCCTTGATATATTGTACAGTATGTTATGATTGTTTTTGGAATGCACATGTAGAAATTCGTCTAAATAAGCATACAATCGAATGTTTAAATGTATGTATGTATATATAGACATGCCCCATAAAAGAAGAAATCATTCTTTGATTGTCCGTATACGTACACATTAACTATGAATAAGTAAGGACAAAAAAAACGAATTATTTTATATATGTTATCATGTAATTTTAGTCTTGATGTTCTTGCTGAATTAGCATCAAATCAAAAACCTATTAAACAAGAAACAGATTTATCAAATGCTTCTTTCATTCTTAAAACAACACAAAAAGGTAAACCATGTATTATACTTGATGGTCATCGTTATAAACATCGACGTGATAATCTCGATGGTTCAATGTCTTGGACATGTACACAGTATGTTTAAAATTCAATAAATTTCTTTTCTCATTTCATGATTTTTTTTTGTTTCTCTTAGTGAATTATGTAGTGCTAGTGTACGAACATATGGTGATCGTGTTGTACGTCGTAATGATGGTCATTTACATGCTCGAACATTACTTGTTGATCCTCAACAAGAATTTTTATCACGTTTAAAAAAGCGTGCTGCTGAAGATACAATTACAATACCGAGAATTTATGATGAAGAATTAATGAGATCAATAAATGAACATTCAATAGAAATACGTGAACATTTACCAACATTTTCATCAGTTAAATCAACATTATATCGTCATCGACAACGTAGTCAAAAATTAAAATCAATTAATACAGATTGTAAATCATCTGAATGGAATATATTACCACTGAAAAAACGTCCATTAACAGTTGACATAGATAATAATGATGAAAAACGGCGGAAATATTCTTCATTAACATATCCATATAATTTTTTCTTAGCACAAAACTATATGTTTATGTATGCTTATGCATCAATATTATCTAGTCTTCAACAACAAATGTGATACTTTTGTTTTTGTTTACTTTTTATTTATTTTTGTTGACAATAAGCAGTACTACTATTTTCTGTGCATTGAATTTTTAACCACGCACACGATTTTTTTTTTCTTGTCTAATTTATTTTCTATGATTGACATCATCCTTTTGTGTATGGTTTTTTTTTTTTGTTCTCTCTTGATTAAAAGAATTTCTTGTGCTATTGTCAGATATATTTATAAATATAGAATAAACATACTACAAGAAAACTAATAGTTATATTTTTGTTGAAAATGATTCGATCTGACTAGATTTTTATTGCTGTTTCTTTCTATGACTATGACAAGCAATGATAGACATTTTCTTAAAAACAGTAACGACAAAAAAAAAAAAAAAAGAAGAAGAAAACTCGGAAAAGTTTGAGAAAGAATATGAAGACTCATGTTCTCGGACGGAAATATAAATGACATCGATCCGTTCTAAATATAAAGAGAAACAGAATAATAATAATAATAATAATAATAAACGACGAACAATGAGCTTTTTTCTTAAAACATGTAAGAAATACAGATTGTCGTTTATTTGATGTTTATTATTAGAAAATGAATACATGTTTATTTTATAATAAAATATATAGACATTATAAGAAGAAATAATTCATTTAGAAATTGACAATAAATATAATTTTTCTTTTTTACCCCGAAGGATAAATAGTTTTCATTACATAATCTTTAAGTATTAGATTTTCTACAAGGTAATTGATTTTTGTATCATATTTCTTTATGTTATTCAACATATTTCGACATTTTATTCAATGATTTATATATATATATATATATATTTGCATTGATCCTTAATATACACATCATTCTCATTTATTTATCAAGTGCATTTATTATGTATGTTTTCCGGCCTAGTATAATGATGTCTTCCTTTTTTTTTCTATGTATACATATATGTATATGTTTATGAGTACGTATATCAAGAATTACGTCAATGAACCCTTGCTTAGTTCCGATTTAATCAGATATTGATGAGTTAGTTGGTAATGTGCATAAGAGTGAGCTAGTAAAATTAGTCGTACATTTGACATAACGAGCAGCGGGATATAATCATAGTTTGAGACGTTGTTGCAAAATGAATAGATAGGAAGAAATGAAGAGAAAAGAGACATGTATGCATTCAACAGTAAAGATGAGGAGAGATGGGACCAATTACGAATGAAGACAACATAGAAAAAAAAACGATAGAAAGAAACACACACACAGAAGAGTTGGTGTGACAAACATAGAAGAGATATTTTGGTTTAGAATACTAGTAGAATAAAAAAAAAAATTGAACGGATGCACGCACACGCATACTCGAAATGCGAATGAACGAAAGAAAACGCGCATGGTTCGGAACAACGATGAAGCAATATATTATGAATATTTGTTATTTGCCATTATACAAGAATAGAAATGAGAATAAAGACAACATCCTTGTTTCTCTCTTTTGACAATATAACTAATTATAGTAAGAATTAGTCTGAAGTAAATACTTGTCATTTATATGTTTAATAATACTATAACGAAAGAAAATAACTTATAGTAATGTTACTGTCTCTTCTCTTATGTTTGTTTTTACTCGTTACACATCTATGTTATGGTCATTAGATGAAAGAACAGAAACGAGAAGAAAGAATCTGAAGTTGGGCTTATTGATTATTTATTCATGAGAACAAGTTCAAATAGAGACAAATAGCAGAAAAAAAAAAACTGAGAGAAAAGAAAGATAGGCAGAACATCAAGTCGATCTAATAAAGCTGAAAGAAAGACAAAGTCGACTGATGTGTGCGTATCTATAGATAATAACATTCATCATGCACATGCGTGTGTGTGCTTGTTTCTTATATATTAATTAAGAATATGATTTGAAAGTCATGTCTAATGGTATGTTACACTTATTTGACTAAGTAAAATTATCATCATTAATAATGATATACACACGATGTAGGTAATAAGCTTTTATTATTCATAGGAAAAAAAAAAACGATGTAACTCTCAAAGGATTATTTCATTCATAATAGATCATTTTTCTCCTCATTGACATACATCTAAAGATTTACAAAATTGAAAGAAGCTTCTTTTTTTTTTTTTGTTTTTTTTTTTGGTAATAAAATATCTATCATAACTAATGTAAGCATTATATAAGAGACAAAGAACAAGAAAGATTCTATGAACATCTATTAATGTGTAGTTTTTTTTTCCATAATGGACTTCTTCCGGTTTTCTTTTTTTTTTCAGTAATATAGAAAGATATTCTATTTCTATTCAATTCAAAGTAAAACAAGTTAATAGTTCTGTTAATATTGTTCTTAAAGATTAATTATTTCAGACAAAAAATAAAGACACAAGTTTTTACTCTGATCTCTCAAGGAGATCATTCAGAGATTGTTTAAAGCGTTATAGACGAAAAAGATTAGTGATAGTACTTTCAATAATGTAATATTGCTAATAAGAGCACGCACATCGCACTTGCCCTTCGCTCCGGAAATGAAAAACTTTTCTTGAGAAGTGGTAATGGTGCGTGCTAGATCTTGCTGTGCCCATTTTCTTCATCAACATCTTTCTCTCTCTCTCTCTCTGTCTCTGTCTGTCTCTCCTTTTTTTCTTCTTCATATTTCTCGTTCATCATCAAGCAAAGTTTTTTTTTGCCTCTTGACAAACGATTGCAATAGTTGAATGCAAATGTGATACTCGGGTGTCGGTTTAAATGATTTGTGTTCTCTTCAAACGTCATCAAGTTTGCACCGCATCGTAATCCTTCAATTTGCGTCGTCTCGTGTGTGTTAATTTAATTTTATCCGTTAGAAATCTACATTTGTCAATAATAAAAAAACACTTGCAAATATATTCTAAAAAGACAAAAATTCGACATGCTACTTAAACTAATCGTTTTTTCTTTTTTCTTTCTTGACACATTTTTCCAATGTCACTATGTACATTTCTATTTTATTATAGATATATCTCTATATATATATATTAAACGAAACTATTGTTATTTTACATTTACATGTTAATCACAATTAACTATGATCAACAAAATACTTGCAATCAAAAACAAATAATAAGTAAATAAATATTTACATTTTTTTTTTTTATAAACGTAATTGTCTAATGTTGTTTTCTAATGTTTCTATTGACAAATAATCGTAAGAATTACAACGATTATTTCCTAATTCATATTTGTCTTCTTTTATGTGTAAAAATAGAAATATGGACAGCTGTTAAACACATAATGACATTTACTAAATGATAATATCATATAGCCTCTAAATCCTTAGAACTAAAACAGTACCAAAAAAATTATTATTATATTATATATATATATATATATTCATCGAGATATTCATTTAGACTTTATTATTTATCTTCTTGTTTTTTGTGGAGATTGATTTTCAATTGCGTACAATTTTATTGTACTATTCTGGTCATTTTGTTACTTTGATAACACTGTTAATAAACTGTAGAGCTTATCGATATCAACTGTACATATGAAGAGAAACAATAAGAAAAGAAAAGAATTTCTTTGTTTCTATCTATTAGATATTATTAAATTTCAATTGCCCTTCAATTGGGTATTACATTCGTGATGGCATGGCTCAAGCATCATCGTTCAAACCGTCTATACACTATCAAGTGTGTAATTCAAAAATTGACAATGACATTTCACGTCTTTCGTCAATAAAACCATCTCAACAAGATTTTTCATCAATTGTTGATGATGATTTATGTGAAATTACAATTTCACCATCAACAAATAAAAAATCATCATTACCATTATCTTCACCTAATCATCATACATCATTATTAAAAAATCGTATTCCTATATCATCATCTATTGAATCAACTACACGTTTTAAACCAATAAAATCTTCTTCAACTTCATTTTCTCCTTTGACAAAAAATCCACGTAGTAGTTCAGCATCAATTCATTCTCTTTCAAAACGAACAAATATACAACAATGTTCATCAACAAATTTTTCAAATCCATCAAATAATCGTCAATCATCATCAAGACAATCAATATTTGATACACTTGCAACAACATTAACAGCTGTACGAAAAAGTTCAACAACAGCATTAGCTTTAGCACAACAACGATTATCAACTGATAATGGAAATCTATTTTCTGCTTATCAAGGTAAAAATTTCAAAAAAAAAGATAGTAACTAATTATCTATTAATATAACAAAACTTGATTGATTTAATCTATAGGGATTAAAGTTGATGAATAAAGAAAATAGTCAAATACATCATAAAATAATAATAAGAAATAATAAAATTTGACTAATAGAATTGAGACAGGAAATTTCTAATTTGCTATTTTCACTTTTCTTTAACAATAGACTAACAAAATCATGATTCCTAACGCTTTGATAATATAATAACACTTTTCGATTTTCTTAATCATACGAGTTTCTTATTCAAATAAAAATTTACATAAAATGATTATAGGTGATTTTATTCGTCAATCTCGTCAATTACGTAAAGCTCGTAAACAAGATATAAAAGCTCGTTTTGAAAAATTTGATTTAAATCCTTCAACAACACATCGTTCACATTTTACATTTATATTTGATCCAAGTGGTCGTTTATCATATTATTGGACATCAATTATAAGTCTTGCATTTCTTTATAATTTTTGGATAATTATATTTCGTTTTTCATTTTATGAATTAACATCAGAAAATTTTATATTATGGTTTATATTTGATTATTCATGTGATTTTATTTATTTAATGGATATTGTATTTAATTTTCGTACAGCTTATTTAGAAGAAGGTGTTTTACAAACAGATCCAATTAAATTACGTCATTATTATATGAATACAACAAGATTTTATATTGATTGTCTTTGTTTAATGCCATTAGATTTTCTTTATTTATCAATTGGTTTTAAATCAATTGTTCGACTTTTTCGTTTAGTTAAAATTTATCGATTTTGGACATTTTTGGATCGAACTGAACGACATACAAATTATCCAAATTTATTTCGTACACTTGTTATGATACATTATTTATTAGCTATATTTCATTGGAATGCATGTTTAATATATATATTACAAACACGATCAAAATTAGGTGCAACAAAACGTTTTTCATTTACAATTAATGATAGTGGTTTAGATTATTTTAAAGCTTTGTAAGTTAATTAGAATTTAAAGAAAAAAAAAATGAAAATTTTATTTCTAAGATATTGGTCAATAACAACATTAACTTTAACACAAAATCAAGAAACTAAACCAACATCAAAAGAAGAATATATTTTTTTAAGTATTCAAATAATTTTTGCTTTATTATTATTTGCAACAATTATGGGACATGTTGCATCTATTGTATCTAATTTAAGTAATGCAAGAAAAGATTTTCAAGGTAAAAAAAAGAATTCAATTGATACAGTGTACTATTCTCTTTTTTCCTATTTAGCTAAATTAGATGCTGTTAAAACATATATGTCATTAAGACGTGTACCAAATAATCTTGAAGATCGTGTTATTCGATGGTTAGTCTATTTAACTTTATTTTTAAAAAAAAAAAAAGGATACTAAGATGATACTTTATCTAATTGAGATAATGGATGATACATTATTATAGAAAGTAGTAGACAAATAAAATAAAATATTTGTTATATTTAATGACTTCCACTTATCACTAAAGAGATATGTATGGCATTCAATGCTTTATAATAAATGTTTATGTGGATATAGGATTTTAGTTATAGTAAAAATGTTTGATGAAATAAGAATGCTGATTTTTTTTCTTATAATACTGTTTCAATAATTTATTATGTGATAATTCGAAATGTTCCACTAGAAAGAAAAATTCTTCGAAGACGACTAACGATCCAAACTACATGCAAAACAAAACGAGGAAAATTTTTGAGCGAACACTTGATTTCATCAATAGTCCCAAGATATATTCAAACTAATCTTATTTAATGAATAAAATGTATTACTTCGTAGAATATTGAGTAATTTTTCGAAGTACTCTTTACTCAAGTATTTACGCATTCAAGATAATATATTCGAATTAGAGTTTTGATTGTCAGTTAATCATGAAAAACTATAACCAACAAAAACAAACAAACACATTTCTTTCTTTTTCAGGTTTGATTATTTATGGATGAGTCATAAATCTGTTGATGATAATCATGTTCTATCATTATTACCCTATAAACTTCGTGCTGAAATAGCTATTCATGTTCATTTAGATACTTTAAAACGAGTGAGTTCTTAGAAAAATTGTTATTATAAACAAAAGAAAAGTTTTTATTTTTTTTTTTTGATAGGTTGAAATATTTCAAAATACAGAAGCTGGTTTTTTAAATGAATTAGTTTTACGTCTTAAACCGGTTCTGTTTTCTCCAGGTGATTTTATTTGTCGTAAAGGTGAAGTTGGAAAAGAAATGTATATTGTTAATCGAGGAAAATTACATGTTATGGCTGACAATAATAAAACTGTTTTAGCAACATTAAAAGCTGGTATAATTAAATTATGAAAATAAAATCAATATAAATAAGTATTTATTTTTAAGGTTCATATTTTGGTGAAATCAGTATTTTAAATATGGGTAGTGGAAATCGTCGAACAGCATCAGTACGATCAGTTGGATATTCAGATTTATTTTGTCTTTCGAAAGAAGATCTATGGGAAGTATTAAAAGAATATCCAGCTGTACGTGTTAAACTTGAATCAATAGCTGTTAAACGTCTTGAAAAACATAAAAAACCATTAATACAACAAAGTAAAAAAGAAAAGAAAAAAAAAAAGTAAATATATTTTATTTTTATATTAATCTTTTAGTTAATCTTAAACGAAGTAAAAGTACACCGGGTTTAATTGAAGCAAGTTGTCGTCTTCCATTTCATGTTCCTCTACGTCGAACAGGTAGTGGTATACAACGTCGTTCATCAATTAAAGAATCTGATATAAAAACAATTATATCATTGAATCCACCATCTGATCCTCAACAACAATTAAATTCTTCAAATTCTTTATTAACTGTTGCACCACTTGCTTCATCAATAAGTGTAACATCATCAGACATTGAACATTTAAAAAAAACACACTGAAAAATAACATTATCTGATAATCATTTCGTCTCTTTATGTATATAATTTCTTTCTTTCTTTTTTTTTGAGGATTGTCAGATTATCTAGAAGTTTATTTGAAAAAAAAACACAAATGACTTGTACAAGTAACAAAGTCAAAACAATATATATATATATGTATATTTATATAGATGAGTTAGTAATTGAATTAAATGTTTTTTGTTATATAAAATTTTTACAACAACAACAATGATGAGAATTTATTCGAGATGATGAACGTGATGATGCTAAAGCAACCTAAAAAATGAAATAAATATTTATAAAGAAATATGAAACATTTTATATATACGGTTATTTTTCGACCATCAGCTATGGAACCATTTTTAACACGAATTGCATTCATACCATCACCTATCATAATAATAATATAAATAGACATACAAAATGAACAAAAAAAAAACAAACTTCCTTTATCGGAAGGAAAAACTTGAGTGAATGAATTAATTTTTATTTTCAATCGTAATAAACGAGTACTCATTTTCATAAGAAAAACAATGAAAATAATAATGTATTGAAGTAGAACGGAAATACTGAAGTTTTTTCTTTCCGGAAAATCAACATTTTGGTTATTTTTATATATCGACCTGGATTTGATGTTGACTTCTCAATTAATTCTTATGAAACAAAAAGTCTTTCAACTAAGCTAATCGAATTACTGCGTTTTAATAATATTTTTCAAGTCGATACAATATTCCTACTTCGAAATACTAAGAAAATTCATATTCAAATATTTGAGTTCAAAACTTTCAATAGAGACAAATTTCAAGAAAAATAGTTCATTATCAAAGTTGCAGAATTTTTCGTTGTTTTTTTCAAATATCCTGAAATAAGAATATTGAATTTACTGGTGTATATAAGTGATGTAAAACAAAATCTTTTTTTTTCATAACTGTATCATAAGATCGGAATAACGAATGAATTTGAAATTTTCATCATAAACTATTCTTTTTCAAGATATGTTTCTCTGACAAGTTTCAAGTCAAAATTCGAAAATACACTAACAGTTTATATTGTCAAAAAAAAACAGTATTCATTTGATATATGTGTAAAAACTAATAGTTTATCTTACATACTTTGAGATTTAATCATTCGTTATTTTCTTTTTTTGGACGGAAGTGAGAACAATTCTTCTTATTAACTAAATGTTAGCAAGAGAATTTCATTTTAGAGAACTATAAAATTATCTTCAATAAGTTCGAGCTCATAGCAAGATAAATATTTTCTAAATCTGATCGATTTATTTTTATGTTGAAATTATTGAATTCGAACAATTGAGTGTTCTATGTCAAATAGATTAGTATGTCTTAAACTATTTTTTTTTTCTTACTATGACGAAGAAATGTAATAAATCCAAATCCCTTGAAAAATATTAAAAAAAAATGATTTTATATTATTAATAAATAAAAGTTACTTTTGAACCACGTTCATTCGATACTATTTCAGGATCTTTAACTGGTCCAAATACCTTAAACGAATACAAAAAAAAATAGTGTTATTAATTTTTACATTACGAAACTTACTAAAAATTGTTTACGTAAATCATCAATAGTCCATAAAAATGGAATATTACCAACATGAATACGTAATGGTTGTTCATCTTCATTAAACTACAAAATAAATATTTAATTTAAAAAAACAAAAAAAAAAAAATTATCAAATATTATATATTAACTTGATCATAAGATGACATAGATAAATGTCGATTTATTGTTGATAATGATGGATGAAATATTTGATTTTTATCAATCTAACAAATAAATAAATAAAAATATTTCAAAAATAAAATCAACTTACTGAATTATAAGATGTCATTGATAAATGTCGATTTAAATTTCCATTTGACGATGATATTTCCGTGCGTATAATTTGCTCATCGAGTTGATGAGGATAAAGATGCATAGCAGCAAACTATATTCAAACAATAAAAAACAAAAAGAATGAAACTTTCATTTGTTTTTAAAGCCAAAAAAAAGAAAAACACAACAAACTTTTTCACAAGTTGGTATTGTTATATGTCGATTCATTATTGATCTTACTCTTGTCTTTTCGAACGAATAAATATTATCGATATCTATATGCTCAGATGATCAACTTTTGTTTTACAATCATATAAAGAAATTCAAATACGAAAAAAGAAAACACGTGCTTCTACATATATATCTATGACGTCCATCAATAATCATATGATAGATAGGAATTCAAAATCATGAATCATTTATTTAAATTATGAAACATCATTTTATCATTTAATCCAATAGGACAAATCATATAATTATGAAATATAAACAATTGATTTTAAAATTTTCTAAGCATTTTTATTTATCTATTTAATAATATGAAATAGCTGTCAAAATCTTATCAAATAAATTCTGATCATTTTTATATCTATTTTAGTTATGCATTAATAATTATTATTGATTTTAAGATAATAAATGATTGAAAAGTAATTAGACAAAATACTCATTCATTTTTCAGCTTTTTAAAAACGTTTGTAGATATTGAATCAGAATTTTGTATTGTTTTCAAATAGGATTGTAAGTTTTTTGTAGGAACTCTGATTTTGAAGTTATGAATGAATCTTTTCGAGATGTGAAAATATAAGTTTGAACGAAGAACATAAACTTTTTTTTTGCATAGACCAAAGCCTTCGAACACTAATACTCAAAATTTGATCTTTAATCGGGTATATTCAAATCACATGAAATTTTCTGAGTGCTTCATTGGATCGAACGTGACTCATTTAGCAAGCTAAAATTCTCTGTAGGCCATCATTCTATATATTTGAGATAATAAATTTAATGTCTAGAAAAACTCTTAAAAAAAGTACCACTCTAATTATAAAGATACTCTTATATATATAATAGCAGCAAAGTTTAATTTAAAAAAAAAAGGAGAGACTGTAATGTTCTGCATCTTGACATAATTTTTCAAACAAAAAAGAAAATCTATTGATTAAAATGAAACTCTATCAAGGATTTCTAGATGCATGATTACAAAAAAAACATATTTTTCAAGCAGAAAATGACGGAAATTTTTAGTAAAAACACGATTCTAAATATAAAAGCATGTCATTTATGAAGCATCAGACCTCGGATTCTCTTCCTATGCATTTATCTCAATTTTCATATTTTTTACGGAAATTAATTTCTTTTAGGGGATCTTAAAAGGCAAAATTTTTCTTTACAAAATTATATAAGAAACAAGAATCTTAAAACAATTAATCAGAAATGAACGAACTCACTTTGCAAATTTTTTTTTTTCTATGAAAGTCAAAAAAAATGTGTAAATTCATACAGAATTCTTTGTTAAAAACAGTTGCTATTAACAAATTACTTAGAGATACCGAATTATTAATAAACTACTGTATGGAGAAATATTTGCTCATTCCATTTATTGTATTTAAAAAAATTTTTATTTTCTCAACCTGAAATTTTTTTAAGAAATTTTTGAATCCACATTTGGAACAAACACAATATTTTCTAATTTTTATAGATTCCTTAAACAGACTAAACATTTTATCGAATTACTTTTCGATCAACCCGATAGAATTAATTGATTCAGTCATCTCTAGTTATCTAACGTCAGAATTTCAAGGTTATAGAAGTTATTTTTTTAAACAATTTTTACACAATATTCTATTTATGAATGTCGAAATAAATTAATCAAATGTTATTATATTAAATTTACATATAATTATGTATCTATTCAGGTAAAAACATTGGAAATTTATGAAAACCTGAACGTAGTATTCCATACTGGAAAGTTTTCAGGTTGTTCTGGTATTTTGCGACTGTTTCTCGCCATAACAACAACAAGAGCTTCGCTAAAAATCATCAAAATAATCTTGAAACTTTTCAATTCAGAATGCTAATTTTTATTTTCGAAATTTTTCTGAACGATTTGATGATTTATTCTTGTGTTGTCGGAGTTCAAAATTCTGTTTGTTCTTTTTAATTAAACTTTCGAATAGTAGTAAATCTCATTTCAGAACATGTGATATCACTGATCAAGAAACACAAAAATCCAACGATTTGTTTAATCTTTGTATTCTATATTAGATTTTATCTTCAATAGACATTATAGAATCCATCTAAAGAAGAATATATATTCATAAAATTCAAAAACTTTATCAATATATGAATTTTCAGAAAAATATTGTATATAAATTTTTAAATTTCTTATATCTAAAAATTAGATTCTAGTTATGATCTTTTTATTTTATTTGTTATTGAGAATATTACTAATATTGTTTTCTATTCTGACATATTCAAGGCACTTCATATATCATAATCAAGGGTAACCAGAATGTTAAGCATAATGAAACTTCAACACGAGCATTTTCAGTACTGAAATATTACGCACGCAAACAAAGATGAAGGCAAATAAGACATTCATTGACAGATCAATTCGTGTATATGAGGATTGATGTTAGTTTTCTATTCATTTCTATACAAACACAAGCTCTTTGCTTTTATGTTTTTTTCGCGTGTTCATCGTTCCATGTATATCGGTTACATGCTTAAATATCCGTGAGTAAGTTTTTGTGTTGATTGTTCGGCAATCCACTTCAAGGTTTCTTTATTAATTCTATTTCTAGTCGAGACTCTATTCAGATTACATTAAAAGCATTTTTCACCTGATATTGAATCATTCTACTCTATTTTATTAATATCTATAATAGATTCGGATCGTCGGAAACTCTGTTGTTGTTTTTTTCTTTGCTACTAGAATTCTCAGAGACATTCTTTTCTTGATTTGATGTTTTTTTTGCTGTCCTATTATCTCTGCATCGTGACATAAATCTTTCTATAGAACTTTAATCTTCTCCTGTTTACAAAGTACTTGTCTTCCTTTCATGCGAAAATAGATTTATTAGTGTGTTAAGGCGACATATAATTATCATGGCATACCTTGTTTCAACATTTAGTATTATTGCAGAAGAAAAAATAGATTCATAGTTT